TATTTTAATTTTGGTCATTTCTAATTTAAAGATTTTGATAATTATTTCATTCAATTAATCACATAAATATTTTAACACGTTAAATAAATTTAATAAAAAATATTTAAAGGCTCATATAATATTATTTATATATTTAAAAAAATTGGATTTTACAGGCGGTGATTTAGTAGCAGTGGATGGCACGGTAGCTTTGTTACTTATTCAATTAGGAACCGTGGATTTTTTTGGTACATCTCATTAATGTATATATATATATATTATAGGGCTCATTCAAAAGAGAATGACTAGTTTGTGGTAACCGTGATATCCAATCTCAACCACAAATTAATAGATAAATTAGGAAATTTATAATTTTGGTAATTTTGAATTAAAATTTTAATGCAAGGACATTTTAGGTATTTTCTCTCTTCTCTTCTCTCTCCGTCCCCCATCATCCGACCTCCAGCCACCGTCCTCCGGTGATACCACTGTGATACCTAAAAATATTGACTTTGTTAAACAAAAAGACACAGTGTGATACCTAAACACATAATATGCATTGTGATACCACTGTGTTACATCTCCGATTGACCACACAAACGATCTCAGTGTGATATCCATTGTGGTATCACTAGAGGATGGTGGTCGGAGGCCGGGGGACGGAGAGAGAAAAGAAAATACTTAAAATATTCTTGCATTAAAATTTTAATTTAAAATTACCAAAAATTATAAATTTCTTAATTTATCTATTGATGTGTTGAGATTGGACCTTACGGTTACCACAAACTAATTAGTTCTAATTTCATTACACCCATATATATATATATATATATATATATATATATTATAAGGGTATTCATACAATCCAGCGATATACATCTCGATTTTAATGTTTCGTTTTTTTAATTGATATTAGTACCAAACTAACTATTTAAAGTTTCTCCTTTTTTGTGTATTTCTTTAATTCATTTTCTTATTTTTGGTTTAATAATATAATTTTTATAAAGATAATAACTACGTATTTTATTAAACTTAATATTATCTTAATTATATTTTAGATTTTTTATATTTAAAGTGACATGTTTATTTTTTATTTTATTATGTTTATCTGCAGTTAGTTACATGAATTCAAACATGAAGCTTTAATAAATTGTATATACGCATAATTTACTTATAATCTTGAATTTTAAGTAATATGCATCAATAAACAGTATTTCATGCATAAAAAATGGGTTTTAATAGTTTTTGTCAAATGTTTTATAATATAGTATAGATACATATATGAATAGCACCATTATATCTTACGTTATTAAACCTTGTATCTATCACATGTAACCTAATTGAAAAAACTCCACACTCTCAAATCTCAATTAAAAAACCTCATATATAACATAAAAAATTGAATACATTCTTACAAAATAACCACAACTTCGATTAGATGAGAGACGAGGAGGGACACGACGATGAGGGATGATGAGGGAGACCAGGGTTTAGAGTTGATCTCGGAGCGAGAGAATGATTTTTGTTTGTAAACGTCTTTTTTGAAATAAGATTTTTTTTAGTGACATGTAAACTTATTCTAACTGTCTTCCACGTCATTTTAAGTATGACACGTCAACGAGAGAAACCGATTTAAAGGGTAACAGGTTACCCAATGTTATCATGAGTAAATTTTTTAAAGTACAATGTCTTAATAAAGAATAAATTTAAAATACATTGTTGTAATAAGAAAAACTCAAAGGTGCAATGGTATAATAAGGAAATTTATAAAAGTAGAGTGTTATTTCGCGCATTTTGTCTTTGCGTGAAACTTGAAAATGTATAATTGGGATGTTGGGCCCTAGAAAATTTTGTGGTCCTATTTCATATATCATGTCATAACAGACTTTGACGTAACCCTGGTTTTAACCGGTTCAGTTTTAGTTGCAAATCTCCATTGATTTCATATTTTAACTCAAACTTGGTTTAAAAAGTCATCATGTTTTTTGTTTCTTTTTTTTGACGTAAAATATATAGAATTATTATGCAATGAATTTCGAAAACTTTACGATCTATGTAACACGTTCTTGACCGATCATCATGACAACGGTGGTTGTCGGAAGTCCAACTCTAAACCATCGATTTGATCAAATAACATGCTTCAGATCGATAGAAACTAGATTATGACTTCATACATGTAATTAGATTCAAAAATGGTTTTAAAATGTACTCAAATCAGTCAAAAAAATTAAGTTTTTGTGGTCGATTTCTATCGCACGTGTGGTGCATAGAGTTTGGTCTCTTAGAGTGACGTTTGCTTGATTACCTATAGTTTGAATCTAGGGACCTATGAAACCGACATTGCCATAAAAGTTGACCCGAACACCCAGAAATATGAACAATATAACGACTCAGAACTTCGTTGATATATTACAAATGTTTCAGCGGTCTAGAATCCCTCAATACTTAGGTCGGTAGTAGATTTTCATGCCTTGCCACAATATATATTCGAGCATCACATGATTGGTTTCTAATGAGATGGTAAACGTTACATCGTTAAACCAAATAAATTCGTTATGAATGGTTTTTCAGTAACTCTTACCTCTTTAAAGCAAATCCAATAGTTTCACACGGTTTTTGCTTAGTTCTCATATCTTTTAAACGAAATCAAATGGTTTCGCATGGTTTTTTTGTGTAACTGTTATGTCTTTAAAACATAACAAATTCAATAGTTTTAACTGTTATATCTTCAAAACATAACTTCAATAATTCACGACTTTTTGGACTTTTTCTGCTTGTCAAATAACTTAGATGTCAACTAACACAATTGTAAAATAAGACGCTTGTAATACGTACTAAAAACCAATATAAGACGAGATTCCACAAACGTCTCTAACTACTTAAGTTCCTAACTTCATACCAACCAAATATAAATTTACAACTGCCTTTTGTTCTATTTAAAGACTAGGTAAAAGGACGAAATTACCCTTGACTTAACGATTATGGACCTGATCCATACAATAATAAAACCACATATAGTAGGATGTTACAAATGTTTTTGTTATATTTAAAAAATAGGTAAAAAGATGAAATTACCCCTCACTTAAGGGTAGAGACTCGATTGATAGCCATAATAAACTCACATAGTGATGGCCAAAAACCGGTCCCAAGATTTCTTATAACCGGCCATAACCGGTCCCGATCGAAAAATTGAGCCCGATCAAGCTTTATTGTAACCGGTTGTGGGCCGCCGGTCCCGGTTCCCGGTCAATAAAAAATAATTTTTTTATTTTTATTTTTTTAATGATATATTTTTTAATACATTATAAAATTTGCAATTGGGTCATTCAAATACACTTTAAAAATGTTTTTTTATTATAATTAAAACTGCATTGTCTTACAAAATATAGCGATAAACCGATAATTGTAAACGTTTTTTTTTTTTGCGTTTTTTACGAATCGAGAACTTGGTATGTAAATCCCTCAACCAAGACACCTATATATAGTGTTTAAAAAGAAAAAAAAATACAAAAAAAGGGCAAAAAAAAAAGGCTACATTTAAAAAAAATAGCTACATTTTTTTAAAAATCGGGTCGGGCCGATCCATAACTGATCCCATAACCGGTCTCGGTCGGTCCCGGTCCTACGAAACACCCCAAATCCATAACTGCTCCCAAATTTCGGTCCTATAAACCGGTCATTACCGGTCCCGGTTCTCCGGCGGTCCTGGGCCGGGTCGGGCCATTTTGGCCATCACTACTCACATATGCTTGATCCATAAAAAATAATTTTAAGGGATCTAATCTATAACTTTCATATAACCACAGGGACTCTATTTGTAATATACTCTTATTTTTCTTCATTTTTAACTGAGTAAATTACACAGTAGATCCCTGTGGTTTGCCCATAATCTAGATATGGACCCTCTTTCAAAATAAGCACCTTGAGCGTCTCTATGGTTTGCATTCCGTTTCGTTCTAGGTCCATATCCCTAACAAAGTTAACTCCAATCTGTTAATACAAAGACAATTCGATTAATTGACCTCTTTACCTTATTTTTTTTAAGAAATTGAAAAAAAGATTCTTGATTGGAACCTTCCACGTATCTTATCCTCACCCCTTTCTTCCCCTACCCATCATTTTCATCCTACCTCAAGGTCCTTGTGACCCACACACACACATCTACTATTGCAAACCCGGAAAACATATACACATCCATGTAGACCCAAAAAACACTAGCACACGCTCTTTTGCAGACCCGTAAATCACGCACACGCACACTCTTGGAGACCCAGAAAAAATACATACAACATGCCCTTGCAAACCTCTTCATCTCCCTTTCACTCCCCTCATAGTTTCCATTTTCCATAATTTTCAGTGAATATTAACCCGTAAACATGTTTACTAGATTATAAATCATCCAAACAATAAGCCTTATGTGACCCCTGTTGGTGCTAAACAACCACCCCTCCTATTGAATCCAAAATTTTCCAAGTTTTTGATCATTTTCGGTGCATTGCTTTTTTTTCCAGCCACGTGTTAAAGGAAGATGATCCAATTTCACAGGCATTCAACCGTCATGAGGTGTAGGTTTGGCCTCGTGTTGTGTGGAGCGATTGGGAAAGTCTTACGATGTTAGGAGAGCGGATGATTGCTCACTAATTCACTGGTGGCCGAAAGAAGGCTGTGAGAGGAAAGAGGAGGTGGGCGGTATCTACATGCCTGTGTCACCATGTGTATATTGTATACACATAATGTATACTTAAATATGAAAAAAAGACAAAAAAAATCAAGGATAAAAACATAGTAAAATGACTAAAATACCCTTAAGTTAACAGATCGAAGTTAAACGCCGTCAAAAATAAGGACCCAAAACGCAACAAAATACAAATTAGTGGAATATTTATTCGAAAAGGGGAATCATATGCGGATTCTATTTTTACTGCTTTTAATTTAATTTGATGTCTTAAATGGTTTGGTTTATATAAAAAAAGTTTGTTGGTGACGTGACCGTAAATTCATCCCCGCCTCACCGTAGACTCTCCGTATCCAATCAATTCCTTTGATTCTTTCCCCCAAATTTCTTCCATCTCAATTCTCTCTCCCATCCATGGCGACCACCACCGCCTCCGCCCTCCTCCTCTTCTCCATCCTCATCGCTGTCTGCGCAATCTCCGCCACCGCAAGACCTTGCAAAACCATCTTCTTCATCACTTCATCCTCCTCCTCTCACTACCCCACCGATGATCAACTTCTCCCAAAACCTAATTTCCATCTTCTTCGGAACCCCAACAATTCCCCACGTCTTACCTTCTTCGTAACCGAAATTCGTCAATTCCATCGTACCAGATCCCTCCCCCGCCCTATCTTCTTTGATCGCACCATCGAATCATCATCATCTAATGATGTCGTCTCGTCAGAACCCTATTATTCCGCTGCTTCCTCTGTTAAGACATCGATTCGTGAACGTACCATGGATATCATGAGTATTGTTGGCGCCTTACTCTTTGGCGTTGGATGTGGGGCACTCACCGCCGCTACCATGTACTTAATCTGGTCCCTGTTCGCTCCTAGGCGCTTCGATTTTGGCGCGGATTCCGATGAGGAGAGCGATGACGAAGAGAATGACGTTAGATCCATCAACAAGGGTTACGTCGCTGTCCCTGCCGCTGCTAAACCTGTGCCTCCTACTGCCGATGAAGTTGCTGCAATGAAATGAATGAAGCAAAAATTTGGGGGTGTCTGCTTTTAGTAAGTCTTTTTCGATTTTCAAACATGGTGTTTTTCTTGTCTATTCTCCCTGCTGTTTACTACTTACTAATATCGTAATGTTGAATTTCTGGTGTTATGATAATTCTGGAATTCCATAGTTCTTTTGTATTGCGTGTGAATTTGGGATTGCTGTGTTCTGTAAACGTTTTATGGGTATTGGCTTACGTTTCCTCCTTCTGTTACATGTTATGATGGTACCAGCAAAGAATTTGATGTTTCTTGTTCTTTCTATACTAACTTGTTTCCAGGATGGCTATCACTGTTGTTTGTATTAACCCAAATGGCTTTTCTATTCTAGATTGATTATGTCAATTGGGTTCATCTCAAATTGAGGGCTTTCGATATAACCATAAAGTTGATTTAAGTCAATTGATATGGCTTTTAGGAAGTAACTTATTGAGTTTACCAATTCATTTAAGGCAGTATCATGGTGTTATTACTGTTATATAAGTTTCTTTTAACTTAACTTGTTGATAATGTTGTTGAGTTGAGAAGTTCTACTCATATGGTGTGGAGATTGAGTATGGAAGTGGTCTTTTGGAGATCGAGTATGCATGTGGAGTGTTACTCATGTGTTAGAAATGGGCTAGATCGGTGTGGATGTTCTTAGGATGATAGGATGTGAATTAAAAGTCTCTTCAGAGACATTAGTGTATGAATCTGATGATTCTTTAGGATGGAACAAAAAAGAAACAGCTTTTCTTCTGGTTGGCAGATGATCATATAATACGAAGTTAGAGTTGCTATCTATAAATTCCTATGTTTTGGTTTAATCTTGGTGTTTGTCTGTGTTCAATGACAACAAGGGTAGTATTAGGCAGTCCTCTCTTTTTTTTTTGTGTAAATGATGCCACATGGCTTCTATTACTCTTCTTATAGAAATTTTTGGTATATATCTTAATTCAACATGTGATACTCTTCTTCTTGAACTTCTAGTGTATAAAGTTAAAAGAGTTTGCATATTTATCAACATAATGTGAGAGCTACATATCCTATTAATTCCTATGTTTTGGTTGATAGATTTGATGTTTGTGCTATGTAATTTAATGACAACAATTGTAGTGTTCTTTTTATAACCATGGGTATTTGGGCCAGCCTAAGTATGCCTAGACTAATCCCATGGGATCCTGAAGTTAACAATAGTTCAAATGAGAATCATAAATATTTTGAGAAACGGGGAACCAACAATTCATTAATTATTAATGATGAATAACATTAAATTGTATTTTAGGATCATTCATCATGAATACCATTAACAATGAAAATGCATTATATTCAAGATTATTCATCATGAACAATTCATGTAATAGTTGGTTCCATGGTTCTCAAAATATTTGTGGTTCTCATTTGAACCCACTTTAGGAAAACCTCCGGTGACCAAAAGGGGACCCGAGCTGGTGACTAATGAGGAGCAAACCTAATAGTAGTATTAGGCAGTCGTCTTTTTTGGTGTAATTGATGTGTGACATGGTTTCTATTATTACTCTTGTGGAAATTTTGGCAAATACTTTTAGGTCAACGTGTGTTACTCTTTCTCCTGAAGTTTAGGGTCTATTGGTGTTGCACCATTCATCGTGTCAATCTATTGATTCCTGTGTTATGGTTGAGATCTTGATTGTGTTTTGCGTTAATTTGATGATCGCAACTGAAATGATATCACATGGTTTCTATTGATTGATCTTTTTTGGAAGTTTAATCATCTTAGTTCAATCATATATAACTCTTTAGGGTCCATAGTATATCATCATTTTCATTTGCAGGTTCTTTTCTTTTGATATGAAATAGGTGGGTTATCAAGATTCTTTCTTTATTGCATACCCCCTTTGTCAAAAGGAGAAAAAAGAAAAGTCTTGTGTTCTATTTTTCAACAAGAGACGGGTATAATGTTTTGTAAGGAGTCTTTCCGGGTTATTGGGCATTCATTTTTATTGTTATATTTATGTCTTATAGTATCAGTTAAGGTGCGTATAAGTTGGTTTAGTTTTATTGTTATATTTACGTCTTATAGGATCAGTTAAGGTGCGTATAAGCAGATTTACTTTTATTGTTATATTTGCGTCTTATAGGCTCAGTTAAGGTGCGTGCGTATAAGCGGATTTATTTTTATTGTTATATTTACGTCTTATAGGATCAGTTAAGGTGCGTATTTACTTTTATTGTTATATTTATGTCTTATAGGATCGCTCAAGGTGCGTATAAGCGGATTTAGTTTTATTGTTATATTTACGTCTTATAGGATCGGTCAAGGTGTGTATAAGCGGATTTGTTTTTATTGTTATTTTTACTTCTTATAGGATGATTGTGAGTTTGGTTTGAGGGAAGGAGAAAGAGGAAATGAGAAGGATAATATCTGAATGAAAACTGAGGACGATTCTTGGATCATTCCTAATTATTAATTATTATTAATAATAATAATAATAATAAAATATTCAAAATTAATTAATAGTATTATTGTGTTTGATATTGTTATTATTAAATGCTTTTTACATAATGTTAATAATATTGATAATTACATTATTATTAGTATTATTCACATTATCACTCTTGTTATTACTATTAATATCAGTGATATTGTTGTTTTTTTAATAGGATTTTATGAGGTTTTCATGCCTAATCATAAAACAACTTACAAACCCAACTTATAAAGGTTTTAGATTTGATTTCCATTATGAGAATTCATAACTAATAATAAATTATTTTATTGTATAAAGATTTAAAAATATGTTAAGAACCGGAACAAAATAGGTTATAATTTGAATCAAGTAATGAACTTAATGTTGCTTCCATCTCGATCGATAGATATATATATATATATTTAAAAAAAATACATGAAAATGTTATACAAGTTTTATAACAATTATATTAGAAATTGAGTTTTTAAATGCACTTTAAATATTAAATTTACTTAAAACTTAAAAAAAAAACAACTTTAAAAACTTGTATTTACAATTTATAAAAACTTGATTTTTTTTAACAAACCGGTCATATGCATAATCAATCTCAAGACATTAACATAGAATTTCCATAAAACTTATAACCTGTCCCAAACCATCAATCGTACCCAATACCAATCAGATCAAAACCATTTTGGTCATCTCAACTTTTGAGTAGAAAATATCTATATGTTTGGTTTGATTATTTTTCCTTTGGGTCCCCATCTAAGTTTTGGTCGTGTATGAAACTTTCATTGGGTCTCAACTAAAGGTGCACCATTGCTTGTTAATTTTTCTGTCCAAATTGAACTTCCGACTCTTATTCATATGCTAACTTATCATTCATAATTATAGTTATATATCATAATATATTTTAATCCTTATATACCCTTTTGAACCTTTAGTTAAATCTAAACATGACTGACTTTTCTTTCTGAAACTTTGAAGATCTGAGATCTTTATCGGGTCTCACTTGAAACCTTACATTTTTTCTTAGAGAGTAAAAACTATGTGGTAACTGAAAGAAGTATTAAATGAATCTTTTATAATTCACGGTTGGACCCATAAAACTACATACGTCTCAATGGTCTTGGAGGGTTAAACCTCGAAAGATCTAATTTCATTCCATCTTTATCCCGTGTATGGATCAAAATTGGGTCTCTCGAAGCCAACATTCACACATGGAGAACTTTGTATACAACTTCTCTTTTCTCACTGAATTTAACAGTAGTCAATGGTAGTCATATGCTTAGAATAAATTAGAACATCATCTTTAGAAACAATCGCAAACATATGTACCATGTCGATCAAATTTATAAAAACTAGCGCATTTGCTAAACCAAATAACATCAGTAGTGATTTGTAATATCCAGATCAGGTATGCAAAGCCTTTATGGTATATCCACCTTTGTACATCTTAATTGTGTGATAATTTAAGTAAAAACGTCATTTTCTTTCCCAATATTCCCGTAAGAGATTCAAAGGGTTCCGTTCCATATTTCATGTAGATTGAAGTATTTTACAGTTATTATATGTTAAATAAGTTCTATCTGGCTCTGCCTCTTCAAGTGACTCAAGAAGATAGACCGACCCATTTCCAACTTTCCAAAGATTCATATGTTAAACTTTGTTGGAAGTCAGAGATTTTTACAAGAACACCTTCTCTGCCTCGAGACAGATTTGTATACAATTTACTTTCACGTCAGATATACTGGATACGTCTGGCCAAGTATGGTTTGAGTATTAGAGTTTAGTAAGGTTTTCTTGCTTGTAAAAATGGTCCATGCTCTATCTTAAAAGAATAATGTCACAGTGGAGTATATTCTATCAAGATTACTTTGATTCCGTACAGAAAAAGTTGTCCAAACCACTTTTAGGGGGTGTTTGGGATTGCTTATTTAAAACAACTTATGTTTTTTTTTGTAAAAATGCTTATTAACTTATGTGGTATCAAACCGGAGTTAAATAAAGCATGGTTAAAATTGTAAACTGGTAATAAACAGTTTTTCATAAGTCAGGAAGAATTAACTTATCAAAAACAGCTTATTACTGGTTTGGCACCGGTATAAGCAGTTTTTTTTTCTTATCCAAACACAAGAAAACAACTTATCATCGGTACCAGACTGAAATAAGTTAAAAACCAGCTTTTATAAGCAATCCTAAATACCCCTTAAATCATGGTACAAATTTATTTTCCTGAACTCTTTAGATTTATGATATTTATGTTGTCACTGAGTTTCAAGTGATTTGGTTATGGAGTAAAAGACATAGGGTTCGGAACCACCCACCTTGACAACAGTAGTTGTTGAGATTCATCATTCTACAAACGCTATTTGGCTTGTGACGCACGGACTAAATAATGGGAAATCGAGGTCTGATCAAACTCATATGGAAATCTAATAGAACAGTTAGAAATATACCTTCAATCGTCATTTGACAATCGAATTTAAGCACTTAAACTCTAATTTCCTACTAGTTTGACGATGTTTTTAGGACGATCAACCTTCTACATTCTTAACTTTGATTTTTCTTTTTAATCCATTTGAAATGTTAACTGGAAACTCTATAAGCAAAAGACTGATAATCAAAGTGACCTTGGTGGTGAACATGTTGAAACATTCAACAAAATTTATGCTCAACATGGTAATATTCACATAGTAACACCACGTACTCGCCTCAAACCTCAATCTGATGACTTAGATACTGATGACGAATGAGATACTGATAACCTTCAAAAGGGTGAACATAAGAAATAATGAAACATGACATCATACCTTATAAATTTTGAAAATTTGACACGAAAGATATGAGACTAGCATACTTTGTACTGGTCATCCAAATTAAAAGAACATATAATTGTCTCTTTTTTGACACAACCATGTGATGTGGACAAGATATATGGAAAGGCTGGCAAGGAGGACTCTACTGATGTTAGAACTCCAGTTGATTCATTTCAAAATCAATCGAAGAAAAGTATAACTGATTTACTGGAAGTTGATTGTAATAGTACTGACGTGTCTACTACATGCTTATGACTATGACCTACAATATGGAAGAAAATAACATTTCTTGTCCACACAATTTGGAAATTACAAGATGGTCATCATGGTTTGTAAATATGCATGGATTTGTTCCCCCCTCTAACAACCATTAACAAAACTTCATTAAATAAGGGGTATTTTCGTCTTTTTGTAGTTTGATAATTGTAAAGACAAAAAATGTTCGACAAACAACATAGACCAAATTTATAGTTTACTCTACAAAAATATATAAAATAAGGACTATTAGTATATACTTATTAATTTTAGGAAGCAAATTCAAAATATAAGCATAATAAAAGGACCATTTATGTAGTTTACTAAAAAAATGTCCATCAAATTAAGAGTAAATTACGTTTTTAGTCTCCATAGCCCGATAAATATTTTCTATTTTCATCCTTACAATTTTAAAATTATGATTTTCATTCTTATGAATTAAAATTTATTACCATTTCCATACTTTATGATTTAAAATTTATTGTTATTTTTGTATCTATGGCTTACAATTTATTTTCCTTTCATACTTAAAAATGGTGCCTTACGAACGGAAATAGAAATAAATTGGAATAGAGACAAAAACCCGCAATTTCAAAACCATAGGTAAAAAACTGCACTTGTTATCAAACCATAAGGACCAAAAACGTAATTTACTTCAAAAATTAAGACATATTTTGTGAGGTTTTCTTCTTCCACCGAACTCATTAAAAAAACCCTCCGGTTTCAGCAGTGACATAACGAACCATAAATACTTCCAGACCCCTTTCATGGCTGCTGCATATACTCGATTTATTTTTGTCTGAATTTGTTTCCCTGTATTTCTGGTCTGAAGCGGCGGCGGCGGCTGGCAGAGGCAGAGGTGGTGGTGTCGTCAGCAAAGAGTTATGGGGCGGAATATGGAGTGGGCAGGTAGGGCAGATCACTTGGGAGGATTACCAAGGAAGACGGTGATAATGGCCGTCGGAACATTCGCGAAAGCGGTTGCAATTCTTCTCAACTCTACTTCCGTTCACAACGCAGACACTCTCCTTCGCCTCGTCAGATCTCGACCTCCCGGTGTTCCTCTCATCACCGTCAGCAATCACATGTCTACGTCAGTTATTCAGTCTCTATTTCTTTACTTCTCTTCAGTTTGATGATCTGAATGAAGTTAGGCTTGTATTTGACTGAATAAGGTTTTCCGACGTTTGCTTGTGTATATCAGAAATGTCAGTTAGAGAAACCTTGTTTTGATCTTAAAATTACGGAATGCCATTACTATCTCTTGTATTTTTGTTAAGCTTCTGCAAATTGTGAGCTTTGTTGATCATTCTGTTGTGATATATTCTTACTCAGTTATTCTCTTATTAATGTTAACCATTACAGGTTGGATGACCCGGTTATGTGGGGATTTAAAGGTTTCCCAACATGTGATGCAAACCTGCAACGATGGGTACTAGCTGCTGAAGACATTTGCTTCAAAAATACGGTTTTTTCATACTTTTTCCGGCTTGGTGTGTGACAATTTGCTTATTTGGTACATTTTCAAAGTTCTATAATTTCTTGATGCTTACGTTGTCGAATTCTTAACTGTTACTATCTCACTCCTTAGTGTATCCCCTTGAATGATAATATCTTCAAAATAAAATTTGAATAACACTAACAATCTAAGCCATGAAATGATGTACAAATTTCCAATTCATTTCTAAAATTTAGAAAAAAACGTGATACAAAAATGGAGCAGCTCAACTCAGGGGAACTCCATCCATACCAGATTTCCTAATGACAGGAGCTTTATGCACCAATATTAATAATAAAATTTGAAAATTTATCTTTGAGAAGGAGTTAGAAAGAGGAATTGTTTTCCATCATACATGAAACTCAACATGATACATAAAGTCTATTCATGTGTATGTAAACTTTGCTTCCTCTGAGTAGACTTTCTTTTGCTTTCTCTTGCTATACTGGCTTTCTTAGGATGTCCCGTTATACATATTTGAGGATTTGCCTGTGTATTCTTAGCCTGTGCCAAGTTAGAATGAAGCAATACATGTGTTTGGCCTTGCAAGCTGGTGCAATGTATCTAGTTGTTCCCGTGAAAATGGAACATGAAAAACTTTTTTAATTAATATGCCAATAATCACTTCTCACCTAGGACTAGGAGCTGAGGCAACAAATTGAGATGGTTTGGTCATCTCCAACATAGAGCTAGCTTTGAATGCACCGACTATAAGAGGATATTTTGCTGTACACTATTGGTAAATCGGTTGGATTACTTGAATTTGCTGAATGATTTCAATCTCCACAGGCTTTCGAGAGGCCTGGGACTCTCCCAAACGGTTTCCGCTCAACTCAATTCACAAAACAGAATACCCTAAACTGATATCCCACTACTTTATTTATACTATCTTCGAGCCCGCCAACTCTACTAACCGCCTACCAAAATTTACCAGTTGACTTCCATACTTAGGGTATAACATCTTTGTACCAAGATGAGATTGTTAAGGAAGATGGATGTCGGCCAGGATTGACATGAAGGGAGGAGTATGGCAAAGGAGCTGAACTTAAATAACAGTGCCTTGAAGGACACCATTTATTTATCAGAATCCTAAAGGGCTTACCATTTTATGATTGCTTTTGAATTTCACCGTTACATGATTTTTTATCCTTTTTAGCTTACTCCAACTAGCTTTGGATAATAAGGTTTGTTGATATCCTAACTTTGGTTCGTGATAAAGGATTGAAAACTGACCTTCATGATATTTCGTGTGTTTTTGTATGTCCATTGTGTTCTTTATATAATTTAATGTGTCTTACTGTCTTTATGTAAATGTGTTAAGACCTGTCATTTTGGTTGGAAATGCTCAAGACATATGTGAAAAAGGAATATGCTATAGAAATCTGATATGTTGGAAGAGAGTCAAAGACTATCGGTTTTCCGGCCCTATTTAGTCCATGTGATTACTTTTGGCTCCCACACTTGCTTATGCATCAATTGTCATATAATTGGAATGACAAGAAGAAGGAAAAAATGAAAATGAATGTAGTCATATTCTTTGTCCACAGTAGCCATATTTATTTTGTATCTTTCATCAAACACCTCATAAATCCTGGAACAGAATCAATAGAAAATCCATCAAAAAACTTTACCAAATGCTCCTACAAGAATAAGGTGATAGAATAAAATAAAGATGATACTAGTTTAAGTTTACTAGCATCTTATGCAATTGAATTATGAACATGTAGCTAAAATATAGTATTCTTGGTAAACTATAAACCATTTCCCTTGTAATTGAGGTTGTATGGATTTATTTTTTTGGCTTGTCTTGACATTCCAATTTTAATTGCTAATGGATGCGGATGAGGAACCCTTCCTGTCTTCCTCTTGCTGAGTAGTCATGCCGGCCCTATAAATCGGAAACCAAAAGGATTGGACAATGCCATCTTCGTCACAGTTGCCTTCTAGTATTATTCCATTTCCCTTGTTGCAGCTTCAGCCAAATATCTTCTCTACTGCCCCTCGTCCTCTCAATCCCAGGGGAACATTGTCCCCCTCTGTCGGTCCTTTTCACCTGTTACTCCAGCTTGTCCAATCTGGGTCTCGTCAATTTTCCATAAAAACTTCACCATTGAAGCGGTTGTTTGTCCATTCTGATGAACAGGGTCAACATCGTGGATCTCAACTCTCTAATTTCCCTCCCTAATCTTTCTATCAATTTGTCAACTTTCTTTGCTGCCATTGGTCTCAAAACCAAGGTTCTAAATGGCGTGTGGCGAGGCGTGGCGGCGAGGTCAAGCCTCAAGCCTTAGGAGTTATGGCGAGGCCATGGTGTGGCTTAAGGCGGCAAATCTATATAATATGTATGTGTGTGTGGTGCTTGCATGAAATCCAAGTTGACAAGTGAATCATAAGTGCAAGTTTTACTACCAACAATATATTGAGTTGTATGCAACAAACAATTCCATATTATTGAGTTTGTAACTGAATATATCTTCTACTCCATGCTTATTAGTCGGATACTGCCTGAATGACCATATAACTTGGCATTTAATTCTTTATGGCAAAATTCATATATGTCCTCAGATTATGGTTCTTGGAAAGAAAGTAGTTGGTTGTGGAAGTGATCATTTATCATTGCTGTGATATCATGTGCTTTACATTTGCTTTTCAGTACATACATCTATCTGTTATTTTCTTGACTTGTCATCTTACTCTGCCTTTAAAACGGTAACATCTGCAGGGAAATGCATACCAATTACCAGGGGTGGTGGAATTTATCAAGAACACATGTCTGAAGCTCTTGATCTGTTAAGTACTGGTGAATGGGTACTTCCTCTATATATCTGTAATTTTGCTTCCAAATTCTTGAGCTCATTCCTAAATATTACAGTTATTTATAGTTTTATGTGGGACTATTATTGGTTCTCCATTTTTCGGCCTTTCGAGTGTTTATTTTGTATTCTAAGCGTTTCTTGAGATCAGTTGGCCATCTAAATCTTTTTAGTTTCTTTTTTTGGTTCTATTTTTGTCTACTTGTTAGCTTTACCATTTAGTCCACCAGATTTGGAAGCGGGACTTGGAATGCTCATTGAATGCAATCCTTACTATTGAGTTGTTCATGTTGTCGGAAATTACGATATATTCACAACCAAAGATCATCTAGAGTTTCATGCCTTAGTTGGGGTGGCCTGGGGTTGCACGGTGGGGGTTGTTTCTGTGTCATTAGACAATCCTTAACTAAATAATGATTGGACTATTAATACAACCATGAAAAAACCGTCAACGACAAGTGTCAACATCACAGGATGACTGGACGAGGATGGTTAGTCCACTGTATGCAACAATGTCGACCAAGCTATAGCAGTTGCTAAAATCACATGTGATGTGCCTTACAAGTTGAGTTGATAAATACAATATTTTCGCACATTGAATTGAGGGATTATACCTCTTGCAATTGTCAAGAAAGCAGAATGACCCCTCCAACTTCTTTAAATCCATGGATTTATTTTTCCAAGTGATTTATGCTTTTACATGTGGAGTAACCTTTACGATTTAATGCAATTCCTTTTCCCGATTGTATTTTGGCTTTCAAGTTGTTACAAGCTTTGTTCCCACTTGGCTGCTATTTGCTATTTGATACTTCTGCAAGACAGGTCCTCCACTTTTAACATTTATTTGCTTCTCCTCCTATCACATACTTGAATGCTGTTCTCCGAAAGATCCCCCAAGGACCTTTATCAGACTACAAGATCAGCTTAACTCGAGGGATTACATAAAATACTAGAAAAAAGTTGGTTGGTACATCTGGTGGAACATATAAAATAATGGAGTTTCTCTTACATGGAATTATGTGATCGCTGCAGCTAAGTGTCCACATGTAGTTCAACAGTCTGGGAAGTTGTACTGTTTCTTAGCAGATGCCAGTCAAGTTTCAAACCCTAACAACATGTAGGGGATGTTGTTATCACATGGATGGTAGACACTTGTTATGTTCTTAAATGTCTGCCAAAAGTATATCTTGTATTAAAAGGTATTCCCTAAGTGAATAACACATCTGAATAACCCTAAACGGTATCGTAGATGTGTAATTTTAAGTCCTAAAATCCTAGCCCCTATAATATGTTCTAACCATCAACAACAATCAACCATGGTTAATAGCTGCATTTGTTGGTTGTTTTCCTCTCTAGACCCCTTTTGAAATTTGCTACCTCATCACATACCATTAAATGATTTCTAGTTCACCTTCCCATTATGTGGTTCCATACCCATGCTAGTTATGATCTTTGCTTGACCCATACCCTAAGTCATTATTCTTGCTTGAACCCTAAACCTCAAGCCTTCCATAGGAAACCCTCTCTTTGCGACCTCGATGTGTGAGCCTTTGAAGCACTAGCCATTGCTACACAGACCATATTTTTTGTTTGTCTATGTATTATGCTATGTTTAATCTTTGGTTCTGATAGTTTTGCTCATCAGACTTGAACCCCTAATGTCAGCCTTCTTTTCTTAGGCAAGTTTTCCTGTTATTGGGTAAAATTCTACTTGGTACGAAGTATGTAGTTAACTTTAATCAAGATATTGCTGTCACTCTGCTTAGGCTTCGTATTTTAGGCATTGATCTTCTTCAAGCAGATTGGAAACTATGACATGTTTCATTTACTGATTTTATTTTTCTCTTCACTGGTTTTAGGAGTTCATTTTTTTTTTTGCAAGTCGGGGGTCTTCATGGAAATAGCTAATTCCTAACTTTCCCAGACCCTACCTCGGTGTGGGATATATTGGGTTTGTGTTGTTTGGTTTGGTTTATTTTGTTAGTTTAGGTGCTGCTTATTGTCTAATTTTCATGCTCGACCTTTTCTGAAAAATGTTGGTTGAACTCTGTTTGTTCTTATACCAACCAGATCAGTATCTTTGATGCAACTTAATCCTTGATATGAAATTTTTGATATTTTGTTTTTTAATGTATATAGTTACATTCGGCCGGCTTTCCCTACTTTGGTGAGAGTAACTTTATATGGATCTATTTGTTTTACAAGGTGTAAAAGTGATATAGGATACAAGACGGTGAATCTTTTAGGAAATTGTCATCAATGGCTTCTCTGACTTTTATCAATTTGTTTGGACAGCTACATACATTTCCTGAAGGAAAAGTCTATCAAGAAGATGAACCCATAAGACGATTGAAGTGGGGAACTGCCAGTCTCATTTCCCGTGCCCCTGTTACCCCAATAGTCTTGCCAATTATCCATCATGGTTTCGAAAAGGTAAATGCCTACATTCTCTCTTCTTTTTTTCCATGTCACCAAGAAACCATAATAGGTAAACCAGAAAATGTTTGATGCAAGAATCTGATACAACCACCATAAGATTTAAGTCGGACCTTGAAACTCAAAATCTTCCAATGTTGATCTTACTGCTTTTACCATATCCTCTTGTTGGCCTGATAGGACAGACTAAAAAAGCGGTTGTTTTGTTGTTTTTTCATTGAGCCCTGTATGGATTAAGTGGTTAGTATGGATTAAGGTAAATTATTGTTTGTTTGTTTGTTTGTTGTGCTGAATACATTGTCTGATATAAATGACCATTTTACTCCTTACTGCTTGTTGTGCTGAATAAACTATCTGAATGATATCGTAACTTATTAACCTTTGTCTAGAATTTTAGGCCAGAGGCCTCTTGGTTTAAGGAAAAGATAATTGCATTGCATCATCCTCCCCCTCTCCCCCACAAAGTAAAAACTAATCATAGAATGTGATAGAAGCTTGGTGGTAATTTTCTGCAAATACGAGTAGATGGCTGTACTCTAGCCCAAATAGTAGAGCGACTATTTCCATGAAGAACCCAGTATATCCTATACGGAGGTGGAGTCTAGGGGTAAGATGTACACATACCTGTTATCTTCCCCAAAAAGTAGAGCAGTTGTTTTTGTAAAAAAACCTATTTGCGAAATAGTGTGTGATATGCTACAACAAAACTAAATTTTTAGTTCAGTTAGCACCGAAGAAACATATATGCTCCGACCTTATATAGTTGTATTATTTGTACAACTTTCTTCACCTAGATGGAAATCAATACCTAATTCTATCAAGTTAACTCTACTCACGATTCCTTAACAGGTGATGCCTGAAAAATATATGTTTGGCAGGCGACCTCCTTTCCCGTTATGGAATAGGGACATAAAGATAACCGTGGGTGAGCCAATAGAATTCGACATTGCCGAGTTGAAGCAAAGGGCCCTTTCCAATTCTAGAAACTTATCTCCTTTTCCGAGCCTAGGTTGGCCGCCTATCGAGCGGATGGATGAGGCTGCACAAAGATGCCTGTACATCGATATCTCAGAACGTATCCGAACCGTCATGGAGCGGTTACGAGCATTCGGTACGAAGCCAAAGGTGTGAAACTTTTTAATCTTCATGCCTTTGGATCCCATTTTGTTGATGAAACATGCATCTTATGGGAACTATTGATTAACTGTACTTGCAATTTTGGACTTACTATTCAAGAAACCAATGTGTAAAATGGGCCTCTCTTTTCAGGTGAATTATTTTATTTAACAATCTAATTTACTTCTGAATAAAGGGTATGATAACCGCAATATTATAAAAAACTTTAAAGTTAACCATAAATTTGATGATAAACGATTGTTTTTGGCGGTTTGAACGACCAGTCTGAGAAATAGCCAAGCCGTTCAATTTGGTCTGGTCTATGGTTTGAATATTTCTTTGAACGGTTTGTACCAAACTGACCGTCAAAAGTCCACATGTATTAATTATTTAGCTTTCATGTTATAGGCTTAACTTTTACGGACCAATTAAAAAGTTCTCCAAGACATTGTGTTTTTAGTTTTCATTACTCAATTGATCGCGCTATCTAAATTGACAAAATTGTGAAATCAGTCAATAATCAAATCCAAAATTCCAAATAATAATTCGACTTGCTTAATGTAGTCCAAAACTCCGACTATTGTTAGTGGACTTATTTAACTTTTTTTCAATTTCATCAATTTTTTTTTTAAATTTTAGAGACAGACGTATCTTTTAAAATTCGATATTGTTTTTCTTTTCAATAATGTTATTGGTAGAAATTTCATTTTTGGATATTAATGTTGTGTTTTTTAGTTTAAAGTCTGTAAGAGGCTCAAACCATTAAAAACGGTCAGACCACACCGTCTTTTTATGGTATGGGTTGACCGGTTTGGTCATTTGCTGTCAAACCGTTCAGTTTAAGAAACTTTATAAACCGCTATTGCTGTTTGGTTTGTATTTTAGGGGGTTAAACCGTCCAAACTGGACCACGAACATCCCTACATGAAGGACGTCGATGAAATAAAAACAAACCCAGGTACATGTATCTGATTCACGGTTCGGCCGATATCAAAGTAGTTAAGATCGATTAAGTTTTCGTTCCATTATTTTTTGTCTTTTTAGTTACTGTCTTAATTGATAACGTGTATTCATGTGATTGGTAAATAAAAAAACCAATCATTTTGGGATTTTTATTTTGGGGGTGTTTGAGGCTTATTTTAGGTGTTTTTTGACTTATTTCAGTCTGGCACCGGTAATAAGCTAAATGCTAGTGTTTTGATGAAGAAAAATAAAACTGTTTATACCAGTGCCAAACCGTTAATAAACATTTTTTGATAAGTTAATTCTTTCTGACTAATGAAAAACTGTTTGTTATCAGTTTACCATTTTAACCATGTTTTATAATATTAGTTAATTATTAATCTTATTGATATAAATTTTTGTCAAAGAAATTATTATAAATGATAAAAATAAAATTTTACATGTTAAAAAATTAAACAAGTCAATAATATGGAAGACTGTTTTTTTTTTGTCATTTTACATATATAAGCAAAATTTATCAAACACTAAAAAAACAACTTATCAGCTTATTGTTTTTTGGTACCACTATAAGCTAATCCAAACATTTTTTTATAAAACTTCGATTTGATACCACATAAGTTAATAAACACTTTTATAAAAAAATCATAAGTTAGTTTTAAATAATCAATCCAAAACACCCCGTTTATATCAAGATGCTGACTCTTCTCATATCTGGTTTTGTATTTTTCTCTCTTTTGCTTTCATTCCAACATCGAAATCATAGAAATGAACACTTCTAACGCCATCACCGGCAGCCGCCTCATCGCCTTCACCACGCCGGAAAACTACGCCGGCCGTCTCTCCCACCGCATTCACCTCAAGGGTTGGACCCCACTCTGGTGCCCCACCATCGCCGTCGAACCCACCACCCAAACCAAATCATCTCTTCTCCATTACCTCTCACCTCCAAACCCCCTCCTCGATCAATTCTCCGCCCTCGCCTTCACCTCACGATCAGGAATCTCAGCTTTCTCCGACGCCTTGTTGGAGCTCAACTCGCCGCCGTTATCCCCTTCCGGTGAACCCTTCACAATTTCAGCTCTCGGAAAAGACGCCGATCTCATCGATAACTCGTTTATCGGTAGAATCTGTGACAACAGTCGGAGAATCAAGCTTTTGGTTCCTGAAATTGCAACTCCGGCGGGTCTGGCGAGGGCGCTGGGGTTGGGGCGTGGCCGGAAAGTGCTATGTCCGGTGCCATTGGTGGTGGGGTTGGAAGAACCACGAGTCGTCCCTGATTTCTTACGGGATTTGGTTTCAAAGGGATGGGTGGCGGTGAGGGTGAACGCCTACGAGACACGGTGGATGGGAGCGGTGTGTGCGGCGGCGCTGTTGAGAAAAGATGGTTCGCCGGCGGTGGATGCGATTGTGTTTACAAGTACAGGGGAAGTGGAAGGGATGTTGAAGAGTTTGAGAGTGATGGGTTTGGATTGGGAAACTGTGAGGAGGGAGAATCCGGCGATGGTGGTGGCGGCGCATGGGCCGGTGACGGCGGCCGGAGCGGAGAGTTTAGGGGTGGGTGTGGACGTGGTGAGTAGCAGGTTTAGTAGCTTCGATGGTGTTGTAGATGCTCTTGCTTTGTTAATGGATGATTAAGCTCATTTTTTAACAACTTCTAAATTGGCATCTTTTTCTCTCATTATCTACACTATCTTATAAAACAAAAGTTAACAAAAAGTCTTAAAATACTAAAGGGCAAATTGCATGAAAAAGTAACTTACTTTAACTTGATTCCTATTTTGGGTAACGTACTTTCAAAACTTTCATTTTGGTACCTATTGATAGAGCAAATTGCATGAAAAAGTAACATACTTTAACTTGATTCCTATTTTGGGTAACGTACTTTCAAAACTTTCATTTTGGTACCTATTGATAGAGCAAATTGCATGAAAAAGTAACGTACTNCCTATTGATAGAGCAAATTGCATGAAAAAGTAACGTACTTTAACTTGATTCCTATTTTGGGTAACGTACTTTCAAAACTTTCATTTTGGTACCTAAGATGTAAAGTTTTAAACATTTAAGTACTCGGGTAACTGGTTGAAATATTAACCGATTATCATGTTGATATGGCGAGTGATGTGGTATCAAACTCGGTATTATTTGCTGACGTGGTCAGTGACGTGGATTCTTTAAAATCTAAAATTAATCTTTTTTTAGTCTAAAATTAGTCTTTCCGGGTTACCCGGGTACTTAAATGTTTACAACTTTACATCTTAGGTACCAAAATGAAAGTTTTGAAAGTACGTTACCCAAAATAGGAATCAAGTTAAAGTACGCTTATTTTTTCATGCAATTTGCCCAATACTAAATGAGGAAGATATCTTTTATATCACTTTTTCACCTCTTCATCTCCTCACATACACTCACCCCCTCACATACACTCATCCCCTCACAACCCTATTTTTTTAAATTTACACTTTATACCCCTATAATTAATTAATTAATTTATTTTACAATCTTTACTTTTAAATGTTTCATTTTAAACATTTATCAAATTAACATACATTTTTAACAAGTTACACAATTATAATCATCTCGTTAATACCTTCGAAATGAGTCCAATATTGAATAGTTTTTGACTTAATTATATTATTATATATACTGTGAAAAATATTTTTAATATTTACGATTTATACTTTTATAGTTATTTATTTATATATATACTATATATTTTGGGGTTAGGCTGTCCAAATTGTACTGTATAATATGTTCTGAATTAATATGTTCTTGGGTTTTTTTTTGAAATATATATATACATGTATTAATTCAACCTTAATCTGAGTTTCTGAACAAGAAAAAGAGTAAGCAGTTGAAATTTCATTATAAAACTCATCTTTTTTGGTCTTTTCATGGCTTATGATCTGTCAAATTTTTAGTTTTCTTTATTGGTTTTGAATGTTTATCTTAAAACTCAAGTTTTTTGGTTCTTTGCTCTTGGTGTAAATCGAACACATTTGTGGAGTCGTTTAAATATGTTTGGATTTTAAATATATTGGATTTTAAACTGTCATACAATTTTTTTCATCGATAGTCTGTAATTAAAACCATAACTCTTATTTATTCAAATTGTATTAATATGTAAATATCAAGTGTAATATATATCATCGTTAAATCTTATCTTATAAAACCAGTGGAACTTCAAAATCGTTAAAATTTATGGCTCCCGCCGCATTGCGCAGATACACAACTAGTTTACATGAAAATCAGGTTAAATTAAACATTAAAAATGCGTATTATATATTTACATATGTAAAAACAAACAAACAAACAAACAAACAAACAAACTTCTTGCAATACTGACAAGTAGAATATTTATATATGACAAATAGAACAAGTAAACTCATACACCCTCCTCATATTTGGAAACTTTTGACCTTCTAAGAGAACAAATACTCATATACCACTAGACCAAAAGCCCTTTCGATAAATAGAAAGAAATGTTAAGAACACTGCACAAAATATATCAAATTTTATTAATGATTATAATAAATAATAATAATAATAATAATAATTAAAAAAAAAAAAGTTCACCAAGATCTATGGTGAAGAAAACTGCACAAAACATAACAAAGAAAACAAATATGTATATCTTCTTCTAAACCTGTTTTACTATCCTAATCTTCGTTCCAATTAAATTTCGACATGTGTCATGATTATGGGGTTGCATATTTCAAATTTAATGATCAGATGACGTGTCCAAGTCTTATTGGAGGGACGGTAAAAGGAAGATTTTTCTTTTTCCTCCGGTTACATACCCGAGCCGAGATCAGAAGGATCAATTCGAACCACCAGCGGTGTGGTCACCCGCGACTTCCCGTTCTTCCATTGTAAATAACCGAACACGTAACCAAGAGACGGTGCCGTTGGTTTAAAACTGGCGGTGAAGTTCATTGTCTGACCGTACCGGTCGAACACTAGTCTCCTTGGGGAAATATCGACCTCAACCCCACGTGGCTGAGCCACCACGGCTTCATAAACCGTTCTTTGTTCCGGGTTTCCGACAAAAGTCAAGGTTCTAGTGACGGAAAACCGCGTTTTGAGGTTGGGAACGACAATGGACGGATAGTTGAGGCTCGAAGGTGTTGTGAACGGTTGGTTTTCACAAGTGGTTTGGTCTCGGGTGATGAGTCGTAGTGATTTTTCGTCGTAGCCGATTGAGCAAAGAAAGGCTTTGTAGTCGATGGCTGTTGCATCGTAGACTAGCCCAGGATCTAGGACGGTTGTGGGATCCACAAAACCGGAGCCATAGTCAAAGGCATTCCCTCTTCGTCCTTCAGGGTCAACCCGCATCGGTTTCCCACTCTTGTCGAAAATCGAAGCTGCATAAACCCGTCAACATGTATCAGATTCTTGCTACTATTCATATTGGCAAACTAGCAAATAAGCGAGTTTAGCTGATAAACTAATCATGTTCAATAAAAACTAGATAACGACGTAAATTGACCTGGACATATTGAAAAACAAAATAAAATAAATATAAAGGGCCATGATTGGAAAAAAGTGAAAAAAACCAGCAGTTTATTGAAACGCTACTAGAACTCTATAAGGGGTTGTTTGGCTGGTTTTCCATTTAAGTCCTATATGAATAAAAATGTTTGTATGGATTAATCTGTCTGTATAGACTGAAAAAGCTTTTTGTTTGGGAGAGCTTTTTGATAGATGAAAGGTGCGTGTGGACAGGTTTGTAAGAAACTTGGCTTTCTGCATAAAGCTCCCCCAATAAGCTTCCTGAATAAGCCACTTTCTATATCATTAAGCCATTACCAAACAGTTATATATAGCTGACCCAATAAGCTATGAGTCCCGTTAAGCTTATTAAGCCGCTAACAAACAGGCCCTAAGTAACGTTTCAAAAAGTTGGCTTATGGCTAAACAAACAGGGTTTTTTCAATAAGCTCAAAAAATAAGTTGGTCTACCGGTTGTCATGATAGCAGATTTAACTGCAGAAGGAGACCATGAAGGATGAACAGCTTTGATCAAGGCTACAATTCCAGTTACATGTGGACAAGCCATGGAAGTGCCTGAAAGAATGTTGTACTTCATTTGCCCGATCGCGGGGGACCATGCCGCAAGTATATTCAACCCGGGAGCTGCAACATCGGGCTACAAAAAATGTGAATCAGTTTTTTTTGAACAGTCAACAAACCGACACTATGATTTCTCTACGAGATTTGAACTCACAACCTAACAGTCGTTGAGATCCACCAATAGCATCGGGTCAAAAGTTAAGGTGCGGAAACGAACCTTTAAGATTTCCGGGGTTAATCCGTTAGGACCTTTAGATGAGAACGATGATACACGAGGAGCCGGTTGAGATCCTAATACGGCCTCGGACGAGAAAATCTGTGACGTTGGCCTCCTGCTCATAACGGGAATACAGAATTTTTTTTTCAATTTTTGTATAGCGATGGTTAGTTTGAAATAAAGTCAACTATGACAGTTCAAGAAGTCAACCACTCCAAGTAAACGATACGAACCGTGTGTTGTTAATGTACGATAAAATCCGGTTTCCTACTTTTCTCCCGACGATCGCAGCCGGGATCGCAAACGGGATTGCGACGTCGACGTTTTCGTCCACGAGAATCATTCCGACTCCACCGGCTGCTTTGACGATCTCGCTCTTGGTCACCTTCGACTCCGATGAACGCTCTGCGTGTCGGCATAACAACACCTTCCCTCTTGTTTTCGTGTAATTTAACGAGCTTTCTAAGCAATAACTGCATCACAAAAAACGTAAAGATTTCATCGCTTCTATTTACTCGATAATATCGTCCCCTTTGTAACGATGAACAGAAGTACCTGTTGCTTCACCTGGATTGATAGGGAGTGAAGTAACCCCCATTTGCTATTGAAGCAGATATGATTCTTGCAGAAGATCTCATTTGAAGAACACTTAGACTTTCACCCTAGTAAAACCGAAACAAAGCATTAACAATATAAAACCGAACGAACCCAGTATATCCCACACAGAAGTAGGGTCTAGGGAGGGGCGAGTTCGGTTGCAAGCCCGTTATCGGTTGTGAATCGGGGGACAAAGGAAAGTGTGCCATGTGTCCCATACATTCACAGGTTATTCATCATGAATGGTGTATCAATTTATCACGGATCATGAATGATGAATGGTGTATTATTCATGATGAATGGTATATCATTCATCATGAATAGTTCACGAATGTTTACCTTCATTATTCATGATAAACGTGGACACATGGTGACACGTGTCGTGCTCTCCTTTGTCCACCTAAAACGGGTTTGCAACCGAACTTTCCTCGGTGTAATTGTGTAAGGAGGGTAAGATAACGTAGACCTTACTTCTACCCTAAGGGGTAGAGACCAGAGAGGCGTTTTACGTGTTTTAGTGGACGTAAACGAGAAAGATTGAGAGATACCTTCAGTTCAACGCCGTTTCCTAACACAACGTTAGCCGTAAACTCTCTATCGATGGATGTAGCTGCAACCGTTATCATCCACGGTGCGAGATTTGTGGCAGCCCCCTTCGTCCCTTCGTTACCAACCGAAGAAACAACCGTTATTCCACGGCTAACCGCATGAAACGAGCCGATGGAAATGGCGTCACTAAAGTAATCGCCCTGAGGAGCATCAGGGCCGAGTGATAGCGACACAATGTGGACCCCATCTCTAACCGCATCATCAAACGCCGCTAGAATGTCAGCATCGTAACAACCCGAATCCCAACAAGTCTTGTAGACCGCGACTCTAGCCATCGGTGCACCGCCTCTTGCACCACCACGGGCCAACCCCTTGTAGTTCATGTCCATCACGTACCGCCCAGCAGCCGTGGATGCCGTGTGGGTCCCATGCCCATTACTATCTCGTGGAGATTGAAACGATCGTTTATTCTTCGGATCATCATTGTATTCCACTTCCCCATTTTCAAGTTTTTCTTGTTTTTCGGCTTCATAGCCACTTAGATAATATCTTGCACCTATCAGTTTCCTATGTGAGGACAAAACTTAGATCAGATCTAGAAACCAATTATCAAGTGGGCCCGATGGGCGGACGACGGTATCAATGGATGTCTATAACCCGTATCTATCGACATATCAGTATATCAGTTTTCAGATAAAACAAATCTGAAACCAATCATAGAGACAATAATAATTTCAATCATATAATTGAAGAACACCTGTTACAGTGAGTGATATTGAATGCTTCCCCAGATTGGCATTTTCCTCTCCAGCCAGCTGGCACCGGAGGCATGTCGGTATCGCTAAAACTCGCGGATTCCGGCCAAATTCCTGTACTTGAAACCAGTTTTCTTTGTAAAACCCGCTTCCATAAACAAGTATAAATCATCAAAAGTACCAAAAAAATGTAACTTTAGTTCATATCAAGAATGACAGCATAGAAATGCAAGATTTTCAAGAAAGTTATGATCGTTGCGTTTCACGGAAATCCCACATCCGTAAACGCATAGAAGTGCCGAAAGTTTTGAACTTCGATTTGTATCGATTGAAGAAAAAGCCGAAATCAAGGAAGTTATGATCATATATGTCCATGGGCATGGTCACATTTGTGTTGTGATGATGATATATGTACAGAAAGAGTGTGATAAATGAAAACTAGAAACATTATTCAACTTCTTTTTCCCAAAAATAAAGATGAATACAACATGATCTGAAGGTCTGTCTTCATGGTCCTAGAGAGAGAAACAAGAGAGAGAAAGAGGGAGGTGTTTCAATTTTGAGGTAGTAAATGGGAGGTCATGTGTTCTGTTTTCCATCAATGCAATAAAACCAACAGATTTCCATTGAACATACAGAAACAAGACTGGAGAAAGATGACACCATAATGCCAAATTGATGCTATGAATTGCATACATGTATGTGTGAAATGACGAAAATGCCCTCAATTTCACTGTTGTTTTTTGCTTGGGAAAGTCACAGTCACACACCTGTGTCAATGAAACCAATGATGACATTAACTTGATCTTTGGTTGAAAAACCTGGAATTTCCATGGTTTCTTCCCCAGCAAGACCAATGAAATCCCATGAATGTGTTGTATGCAACCTCCTTATTTTGTTCTCAAATACCGAAACTACCCCTGGCATCTCTGCAAATTTCATCATCAAGATCATTAACAAAAACCAACAAAATAAGCCCTGATTTGACCTTTATTACCCTAAGATTTAAACTTACCAGCAATTTGAAGAGCTTGATCATCTGTTAACTTGGCTGCAAAACCTCTGAACCCATGTTTATAAGTATACAAGTGAGATGCATGTGCTTCTTCAACACTGATTCAACCAAAAAATCACCAATTTAAAAGGGGGAAATCTACAATTTTGAAGAAATCCCAGATGTGAAATCAAATGGGAGGGATTGTGATTAATAACCTTCCACTATGAACAGAAGCAAGCATTTGATGGTTTTTCATCAAAATCTCATCTGGGTCATCACTGTCATTGCCACCCATATACACAACATACACCTACAACACCAAGAACACCGTCATTACTTTTCTTGAAAAATTGGACATAGAAACAAGCCAAGATCCAAATGACATGACGGAATATACCTTCGCAGAAGTGAAGATTGTAATATGTGCAAGAGAAACACATATGAAAAGACCAATAAAGACATTATTGTTAGAAGAACCCATTTCTGCAAGTCAGAAGTGGGTCTTTAGAGAATTGTAAACTGCTATCAAAAGCAGGAAAAGGGAATTTATTCAAGAGAGAGAGAGAGATGGGGATTTGGGGGCAGTTTAGAAGTAAATAAAGAAAGAGGCCACAAGAAGAATGAGAGAAAAAAGAATGGGGGAGATTGGTCACAGGGATACTGTTGCTACATTGTCGTCAGGTGATGCTGTAATTACATTCAGGAACAGGAAGATGCCCAAACGCCCCATTTTTCCATCCACAAACCTATTTTGCATTTATTCCATCCCTTTTTTTTTGGTAAAGAAATTCTAATGTCTCTTCTAGATAGGGGTTTAATCAAATAAGAATTAATTAATTTGTGGTAACTGTAAGTTTTAATATAAATCAATTATTTTATGATATTAATTGTATTACTTTAATTAATAGGTAAAGGGCGTTTTAGTAAAATGATTAATTATAATTTAGATATTTTTCTTATTTAATAGTTATCAAATTTGGTTTCCTTAATTATCAAGAATTTGGTTTCCTTAATTATCTCAACAAAATTGTATCACAGTCGTGTATCACATTGTGGTTGTGTGTGGCCTAAGACTCAGATCACGTCTATTATCAACTCATGTTCAAAACGTTATCACAATGCGTAACACAATTAATTTTGTGTCTTACTGGTATAAATTCTTGTGTATCACAGCGTGTATCATATTTGTTTTGTGTTTTACTGTTAGAAATTTTTGGTTGGAGAGAGAGAGGGGGAGAGGGAAGAAAGATTTTAAAAAGACTAATTCACCCCTATATATTATCAGTAAATTTAAATTATTTAAAAATTAAAGAATAATTACCAAAATTAATATGTTTAATAATAACATTGATTATTAATAATGTATGGTTGAGATTGGATCTCACAGTTATCACAAACAATTGAGTTCCGCCTTGATTGGACCCCTATATATAGGTTCATTTAAGAGAGAACTGATTAGTTTGTGTTAATTGTGAAATCCAATCTCAACCACATATCTATATTAGTTCTCTCTTGAATGAGCCTATATCTATGTGTGTATGCGCGCATTAGGTTTAAATGAGAAAGTACAATTATATTTAAATGAGATTACTTTTAAAATTCTCAATATAATTGTTTTTAATTATAATATTGAAAATGATTAATTTATTTTTAAATATGAAAACGTAAATATCGAAACTGTTTATATGGAATGTGTAAATCAATTGTTTTTAAATATAATATTGGAAATGATTAATTTATTTTTAAATATGAAAATGTGAATATAGAAACCGTTTATATAGAAGGTGTAAATCAATTATTTTTAAATATAAAATGGTGAAACAGTGAAATAGTTGCATACAATGAAGAGAACAGATTAATATTGTTTCATAATGTTAAACAGATTCATATAGTGAATCAAATTCACACATATGAATAAATACTATGAAACGGATTCATACAGTGATGAAATAATGTTTTTCATACAGTGAAATAGTTGCATACAGTGAAGAGGACAGTGATGAAATACAGTTTCATACAGTGAAACAGATTCATATGGGTGGTTTGTCGATTTTACCCTTTTTTTAATAAAAAAATTAACTTTTTTTTAGTTTTCTAATATAACACTATTGACCATTGATCAATAATATAAATGGATGAGATTGGTTTGTAAGGTTTTTAAAAATGATAGTGGTTTATAGTTATCGCTCCCCCCCTATATATAATAGATGAGATTACTTCTAACATTCTCAATATAATTGTACTTTCTCATTTAAACCTAATATATACACATATATATATATATATATATATATTATTTTGTTAAATTAAATAAAAGTATGATGACTTTGGGTTACATTATATTTAAAAAGAAATAGAAAAAAATTATTTTAAAATCAAATTGACATCATTTTGTTGGTTATATTTGGAATTTAGTTAATGAAAGAAGAATAACAAATAAAAATCTTAATTGTTTTTGCCTCGTTTTTATTTTTTATATTTTAATTTTTTAGTATATATAAATTTTTTGAATGTGTTTATTGACTTTTTATGTTTTTCAAAAAATTAAAACCATCTTAAACAAACCCTATAAAAGTGTCTTGATGATAACAACTTTTAATGTATAAAATTCTCTTGGTGATAAAATTTAAATCATAATCATAAAGGTTATGCCTGATTAATTTGAGTTTGGACTCTAAATGTTAAAATTGTCTGGAAGTCCCAGATTAAAATCCAAAGAGGAATAAAAATCTCTTCTGGCCATGGAGGTTCAAATGCAGTGACTTTGAGCTACCCGTAAAATATGTGGTCACCCTATAATTGTTGACTCGCATAACGGGTTGTATATCCAGATTAATAAAAAAACATAAAATTTTTAATGCATGAATTTGGGATTGGTTTTATTATGGATAGTTGTTTGCAAATAATCGTTATACACAAGTAAATGTGCCAACATTCTATTTATAAGGTATAGAACTGAATTTGTCGATTATATACTTAGTACGAAATTACATATTGTCTGTTATTAGAATCGCATCACAAATCATGGAACAGGTCCAATGAACCATCATATGTTGTAACGACTCATCAAGAGATAAATCATACAATTTATGTTTTTAAAATGTCAAATTACCCAACATTATGTTTTTCACCAAATTTATCACGAATTGTATTAATCATGATAATAGTGTAAACATTCATTATTCATCATGAATATGGACAACTGGGACATGTGGTGCGCTCTCCTTTGTCGATCGATTCATAATAAAATTCACTTAGGACTCCTATGAAAATATGGGGTTTTGGGTTGAGGGTTAGGTTCTGCTGAAAATTGAAGTTATAGTGAGAAAGATAATAAGCGATCTTCACTTTTAAATCAATCTTAATTAACAATCAACAGTAACAAGATGCACTAGATCAATTCATGTATCCAGTGCAATTCATAAGGTGAATGGGATTAAAAGTGATCAATGGTTAATATCTTTTCTTACGTTCCTCACTTTAACTCCTATTATCACACGATCATTCGTCTTTGAGTTGAACTGATTATGCAAAACATGATAAGATTTAGTTATGTGATCATTTTCAGTGTGTATGTTATGTCCTGTTGTTTTAGATTTGATATATGTTGGTTTTGCATATATCATACCCTTGAAACCCCACTTTCAAGATATAAACATTTACATTGGTAAGCGCTTACCAATTCAATTACTTTACTAGGTGAACATAACAAAACCCGAGAATCTTACCTAGTATGAAGGAAAAGACAAAGATCGAGAGTCTTACCCAGTAAATGATGACTCTAACTTGGTAAGCGCTTATCGGATTATAAATGCTTGCCATCAATCCAATTTGATGACTTGGAATGTTACGTCATAAGCTAAATGAGAGTGGTGACTTGTCGGTAAGCGTTTGGTAAATGACCCCTTAATGTCCAAACATACGATCGTTTAGGAATTGACTTTTGGGCAGACACTACTATGGGATACATGCCAGGTTCGCATGCATCATACCCCAAATTCCACCTCCGGAAGAGATATTGAGCTTGTTTGATTTCATCGTTTTGATTACACTAACACCCTTTAGGATAAATGTCAGGTTTTTATCATACTAGTTAGGGTCTTTTTGTACAACGTCTACGACCTATAAAATATCAGAAACAAGTTGCAATCTTTGAGTTATAAAAGGTTTACATACATTCTATCTCAAACCCTATTAGATATAAAAGGAAAGTACGATTTGGGTTGGCTTGTTTTTCAGTGCTTAGAAATCTCCAACAGCACTCTATTTTAATAATCTCAGTATTAGTTATATTATTAAAATATTTTATAAATTAATCATTGTAATACACTTTTAAAAAAAACTTTATAGAAAATTATAACATATTCAACCTTATTGGTGAAAACATTTAAAATAATACATCTCTCATTATCTCTCCTCAAAATATATATGTAGAGGTTGTTTCAAATGCAATTTATCATATTTGTACAACCAATGCAACTCAATCAGTTGAAATATTTATGAAAATGATGAGATTCATTTATTATGATTTGAATATTTATATAAGATGACTAACGTTCATTAATTATGTTCAATATTTTATATTAGAAGACAATCAAAACTTTTATTAAATCTTATATTCATCAAATTAAATGGACGGTTCAGATTGAATTGTATTGATTGTACAAATGTAAATAATTGCATAATAACTCAACTCTCTCTCTCTCTCTCCGTGTGTGTATATATATATATATATATATATATATAAAGACTTGGTATCATGTGAGACCAAGGGTTTTTCGTGAGACCCATGAACCCAACCCTATACATAAATTGGTCTTACGAGTCTCACGAAATTGATCTTACGAGTCTCACATAAACCCAACCCTATATATAAAACTGTTAATCTTTAGAATCTCTATCTTCATAAAGTTATCGAAAATGTTATTTAAATTTCTATAAATTTTGTATCCACTGATTGCTACGTGATTTTTGAGATCAACTAGTCGCATCACATGGTCCTTGAATAAAAACAAAAATATAATTTTATTTTATTTTATGACTTTTTGAAATATGAATAATTTATATTAAAAAAAAAACCACAAAGGTGGTGCTTGATTGGTTTGAGCTTGACTCAAAAGATAAAAAGTACCAGAAGGTTTCAGGTTCAGATCCAATGAGAAATAAAAATCCCCTTATGGCAACGTAGGTTCAAATGCGATGACTCCGGACTATCTACAAAGCAGGTGGTCGGGATTAAACAAGTTTTTTAAAGAGTTCATTTTTAAATAAAACAAAAATTGGGTTCTTATGGTTACATTAATGATCCAATCCAGTATAAAAATGTAACCACAAAAACCCAATCCATTCCCTTATTTATTTTAAAAAAACAAACCGTTAAAAAAGTTGATGCTTGAAATATTACCGTTGGAAAGGAATGATTAGAAACAAAAGCAACGTTCCGTGATATCATAAATGGGATATTATGAAAGCAGCCCTCCT